TTTTTTTGCCAAGAACCTGTTGGTGGACGAAATGAGCGAGGGATTCCTGGCTGGCATGTGCCCCTTTGGCAACCGTCGTCAGGAGTAGACCTGGCATCAACGGTGAGTGATGCGCCGTATGATCAAAGAATATGTGACATCAAACTGGTCATGCAGCAACGTTTGGAAGCGTTTTTGTCTTCATTGAATTGTTGTTTAGTTTGGTACTTTGATTAGTTTCTTTTCCTTCATAGCGCGTCTTTGCACCAGCCCCAGAACTGGCAGCGTTTCTGAGGTCGCTGGAACCGAATTCACACCTCCTGATGGCCAGAATGCTTCCAACACTCGTTTTCTCTTTGCTGTCATCCTTATGAAGTTGACATTCCGTTCCATTCACCACGTCCATGGCACTTCGGGTCATTTAGCAGCGCTTCTTCTTTCCGTATTCATGTGTAATGTCCGTTAACCGCAGGAAGTGCGCTACGAGTTGATCAAAAGACGTGCTTATTAAATATACGTTTAGTGCAAGGGCTGTGTTAAAGGCGTTTTCACGACCTGGTTTTCTTTTCACGCATTCGACTTGTTACATATGGTAAAACGGCGGCCTTTTCGGAATTTTTGTTATACTTTCAAGGCGATCGAGAGTGTCCGCATGACAGTACTTACAGGGGCTAGTCATGTAGGTGGTGTTGTTGCAATTCACTTGTAAGGCGGATGCTGATCGCCAGACAGTTGATTCCGAGTTGTGTCTACTGAGTATATGTTCGATGTATTTGCGACAGAGCCCTCTTCGATAGCTGCTCAAATTTTTCTTTGCTCGTTGCATGGGACGCGAACTTTTAAGTGGACAGAATGGAGAAAGCAGATTTCGAGGCACAGGAGTGAAATACGTTAGTAGCTTCTTCGACAGTGTTTTCACGATTGGCCAGTATGTATATTGACCACGTTTTATCACCTGTTGTTTACTTCTTTATAATGCACTGCTCAATTCTTTTTATCACTTTGTAAGAGCTTTTCCATTGTCAAATGTCGTTTCATCACAGAGTAAAAATCGTTTTGTGTTGTTTTCGCGATTTGGCTTATTTGGTTCAGCTTCCGAAATTGCTTGTGATAGAACAGTCTCTACTAGGAAAGCTGCGCTTTTAAAATCGGTTACAAAGTGTCCTCCCAGGATGGGAAGTGATGATAAGGAATTGGGGGTGTGGGTAATTGAGAGGTTCTAGTGTGGTGGCTCCGCTGGATATATCAGGACAGATCTCTTTTTGGATTCTGCTGATATTTGGATTTCTAATTAGCTGCTATCTTCCATACTGG